GTCCCTCAGGGAGTTTTGATATGTCTATGAAGCTTCCATGATCTTGCCTTGGTCAAGCTGTACTGAGTTTCCCAGGATTGTGTACTGTCTTAACCCTTCGCCAAAGTCACCACTTATCTAGAGACATTTTTGGTTGTCACAACTTGGGGAGGTGGAAGGTGCTACTGGCATCTGAAGGGTAGAGGCCAGGGATGATGCTAAACATCCCACAAAGCACAGGACAGCTCCTCCCTCCACACCCAGCCCCCAAAGGAATTATCTATTTCAAAATGTCAACAGTATCTCTGTTGATCAACAGTGCCTCTGTTGAGAATTGCTGATATAGAACAAGTTATGTAAGATAGAAGAAAAGCAGTTTAGGTGGGTGCAGGCAGAACACAGAACCCTAAAATCTCAAGGTTTTATTTGGAAAAATTGATGTGAGGTGCACAAGAGTTGCTTTGAAAAGTTGATTCCAGAAACATAAGTGAAGATAGAGAATCCGAACAAGGATGAGGGCAGGAAAGCAGAGCAGACACAGCAGCTGCTTGTAAATTGCATTCCCACTGTGTGGCCAATGGTAGAATTCTCCTTCAAGTTTATAGACTGACTGAATTAAAACTAGGGGCATAGAACAGCTTGGAGCCTCTTTAAAATTCTTTCTTTTACTTACTTTTCTCAGGCCTTCTACAGGCCATTAGATTTTAGCAGTGTAAGGTTATGTATTCTCTTAAGTGAAAATCTGTAATATAAATTCTTCCACCTTTTGTTTTCAAAACCCTAGGGAGTATTGCTAATAAAATTGGTCCCTGCCCTATGGACTGTGATCTCAATCTATTAAAAGACTATGAATTGTACTATAAGGTAAGATGAAGGCTGTCCAAGCTGACTTTGGAAAGACCATGAAAACAGCAACCCTTGAGTATTAACTATGATTTCTTAAAGTATATTTCCAGGTAGAAATTAATTTGGTCTTCAAAGCAGGTTTTGAAGCGCTTGACATGCAAAAGCAGCTGATGTGTGTGAAATCAACAATGCCAATAAACTTTTTATTACATCCGAATCAGACTTCTTTAAGCTGTTGAAGACTTCAGTTAAGTTAAGAAGTCTACGAGACTCTTTCCAGCTTGGGCAGGGGTAATTAGAAAATGTGTTGATTTTGTTATGTTTCAGTGATTTATTTGACATGGTCACGGCTGCCATGAAGTCTATCCAGAAATTCTCTTGACAAATTGATATAAATTATGTAGCATGGGTTCCAAAATGTTGTTTAAATTAATTTTACTGATCTTACTGGATTCAGCTTTTAGATAATCATCTCCAAAATCTATATCTACCTTGACCAAGTGACTTTAAGTTATAAGTCTTTTGAAACTTCAATTTGGCTTGATTGGAGAATTCAGTAAAAGGTTTCCCCACCTTTCAGAAACAAATTATCTGAATCACTGTCTTAACTCTCCACTGTCCTAACT